TTTTTAATTGAATGATGGAGTCATTAGTCGAAAGAGTTCTCGCAAGAAACAATGGTCAACTCAACAACTGAAGCTAAATATATTGTAACTATAGAAGCGACTAAGAAAGCTATTTGGATTCATAAATTTCTATCTTTATTACAAGTGGTTCCTAGCACTATTGATCCAATAGTATTATACTACGAAAACAACAAAGCTATAACACAAGCTAAGGAACTAAGGCTCATAAAAGGACCAAGCATGTATTGCGATGCTACCATCCGATTAAAGAGATTATCAATCATGGCGACATAAAGCATGTATTGCGATGCTACCATCCGATTAAAGAGATTATCAATCATGGCGACATAAGGATAGAAAAGGTTCACATTGATGACAACATAGCCGATCCCTTAACTAAGTCTTTTTCACGGTTGAAATATATGACCCTTACTCGATCATCGGGATTAAGAGATATGGCCTATTGATTGTAGTGCAAGTGGAAGATTATTAGTATAGGTATCCAAGACCCAATCATGTTTGGATAGGTTTGAGTTATTGTACTATTACATCATTTATTTTATTAATAATAAAGAATTATGTCTATTAATTCTTATATGTTATGATCATTAATTTAGTAGAATTAGATTAAAATCCTTATGATATGTGTTTGTAATAGTGATTGATCAAATGATGTGAGACAAACACTAATGCATATAAATGATATCATTAAATGTCCTAAGTCATAACATTGTCAAGAATGGAAATTGACTAGATGTAGTTAGATTTATGAGTGTTATGCTCATACTATATGATATCGGTAGAAGATCTCACACTTATTGACATGATAATGCCAAAGTAAGCACTTCGGTCATTATGCCCTACTAGAGGCCAATCTTGACTTATGTATGTCTTTTATTCTTAATGTATTACCAACATATCTAGGAGCCTATTAAGTCTCATGCATAAGTTTAAGCATTCACATGATTGAAGAGAAGCAAAGATATTGGAAAAAGTTTCCAATTATGAAAATTTCCTTTTTGGAAAAGGTTTTCAAAAATGAAAGTTTCCTAAAATGGAAAGTTTTCTATTTAGAAATCAATTTCCTAAATAACCTAAAATGGAAATGAATTTCCTAATTTAGGTCCAAAGGTATTTTGAAAAATTGTTTCCTAATGTTAGCCATCTAAAACTATCTAACTTAATTTATTTGAATAGTCCAAATTAATTAATTAAGATAAAATAGTTTTGGCCTAATAGGTTTAATTAAAAGCTTAAAAGATGTTTTGATAGGAGGATAAACATGAACCTTATTGGATAAAGATGAATGCTTTATATATAAATAATAGAAGCTCATATTTCAAATAACTCCTAATCCTTGAAAGATTAGGAAGCAACAACTAAAAGTCCAATAAAGACTCGTTGTAACCCCCTCTCTTTGTTCTTAGAACACATGAAAACTCTCCTCTTATAAATAGGAGCAAAGATACTGAAAAAGGTATGTTTTTAGAAGAGAGAAAATTTGACAAGAATAGAAAAAGAGAGGAAAAATTCTACACCAAAATACTAGCGACACACGGCTTAAAATAAAAGCTAGGAGTAAATATTTTTCTCTTGAACCCTAGCACGCTAACTTTCTTCTCTCTCTCTTCAATTGTCGGAAAATTACCCCGATTAGATTTCTATAGGAAACACTAAACAAGTTAGAAAAGGTAGAGCTAGCTTTTACTAATTTTGAGTGCTTCTTTTGTGAGTGTTTGGATTGCATGGATTACCAATAGAGGTCGGACACTTGGATGGTTTTTTTCTACAAAGGCATATATTTACATTACAAGAGGTAAATTCTCTATTCATCATTTTAATTCATGAATATATGATTAGTTGATTCAATGGTATGATTTTAGGCCTTTTAGATGGAGGAATTTTTTTATTTCACACTTCAATAGGATACATGATCCTTCATGCCATACAATTCAGTTCTCATGTCAACTTATCATAGTATAATTTCAAACTTAGTTTAAAGTCCGTTCGATTATGATCACATAAATTTTTTTTTATTCTTAAATGTCTTACCTCTAAAGTAAACTAAGTATACTCTATCGGTATACTCCTACCGTTGCCATAGATTCTTTAAGTAGATATTCATCGAAATGTAGTGTGATAACTCCTTTAGCATATAAGGAATGACATGTCCTATCTTCATTAGATTCCTAGCATACCCAATAAATTATCCACATACAGACTCTTGACTGAGCCCATTAAAATGAGTGTCAAAGTACATAAATCCTCAAATGAGATAACCTTGATGACTTTAAGTAAAAGGGCTTATTATAACCATCTCATATGAGATTCCCATAAACTAAACCAAATGGGTTCTCATGACAAGTCACGTCTAGTGATATGTTCTCTAACATTTACCACCTAAGTGTTTGCTTTGGCATCATCATACCAATAGGTGTGAGATCTCTTATTGCTATTTTACAGCATGAGCATAGCACTCATAAATATTATCACTTATAATCAATATCCATTGTTGATAATGCTATGACTTGGGATATTTAATGATATTATTTAAATGCATTAATATTTATCTCATAGCAATTGATCAATCATTAATGCAATGCATATCAAGCGGACTTCTATATAATTTCATCAAATTATAAATAACAAAGAATTAATAAAAAGAATTTTTTTTATTAATAAATAAAAATACAACATTAAAACAAATCAAATCATCCAAAAAAGGTTTGATTTTGGGCACTAACACTAATAAAATCCATCGATAAATTTAATTCACAAGATTAGAAAGCCACCGACAACATCATCCACATAAGTGGGAAACCATCAACTACTATAGTTTCATAAAATTAGGAAGACGTTGTTAACTTGAAGTCACATCATAAGGATGTCTCCAATGACTTCGTCGATATCGGTGAAAAGATACTATGAATAATTAGGTTTGAATGACCTAAATTTGTATTATACTAGAACACGTATATATACACAAAGAGTCCTTAATATTAGGACTTGTTTCCTACTCTAAAGAGGAAATCTTGCCTAACCTATTCTAAATAGGAAACAAATATACAACTAATTACATTGATTTACGACCTAATTCCTAGCCGATTAAGAGCAAAGAATCCCAACACTCCCTCTTAAGTCGGGTTGTAAATATTTATCATACCCGACTTGCAACTAAGATCTTCAAAATACATCCTTGGAAGTGCTTTAGTTAGGATATCGACTGTTTATAGATTAAAAGGAATGTAAGTAGGCTTGATTTCTCCTCCTTTTATTTTTTCTCCGATAAAATGCCAATCTATTTCCACATGTTTGGTTCAATCATGATGAACTAGATTTTTAGCAATGCTGATGGCAGATTGATCGTCACAAAATAGTCGTAGTGATCCTTTAAAAGGTATCTTCAATTCAGCTAATACTCTTTTCACCCGCATTCTTTCATAAATACCATAAGCCATTGCTTGAAATTCGCTTCAACGACTTACTCCTAGCTACCACGAGCTTGCTTTTTACTCCTCCATGTTGTCAAATTTCCCTAAACATAGATACAATATCCAAAAGTGGATCGTCTATCCGTGATTGAGCACGCCTGATCCGTATCGAATACAATTCCACTTCCCTACTTGAGTTCTTTTTGAATAATAGTCCCTTACCTTGAGTCATTTTCAAGTATCTTAAGACTTCGTACATCGCTGTCATGTGTTCTTCGATAGGTTTGTTCATGAACTAGCTAACAACACTTACTAAGAATGCTATGTTTGGCCTAGTATGTGATAGATAGATCAACTTCCCTACAAGTCTTTGATATCTCCCTTTATCTATCGTAGCACTATCCTTATCGGACCCAAGTTTGGCGATGTAGTCCATAGGTGTCTCTACAAGTTTACACCTAAGCATACATAATTCTTTTAGAAGATCCAAGTACATACTTCGTTTGAGAGACTGCAATGTCTTGCTTAAACCTAGCCACTTCCATTCCCAATAAGTACGTGAGTTTACCTAGGTCCTTAATCTCAAATTCTCTATTCAAAAATTCTTTGACTATTGAAATCTCTTTAGCATAATCCCTCGTTAGAACAATATCATCAACATAGACAATCAACACGAAATCGAGTCCATCCAAAGAATGTTTTACAAACATTGTATGATCGGATTGTCCCCGTATATACCCATTACTCTTCACTACTCCGATAAATCTCTCAAACCAAGCTCTAGGTGATTGTTTAAGACCATAAAATGATTTCTTTAGTCGACACATTTTGTTGATGTTTGATGAGTTCCGTAGTCCTTGGGGAATGTCCATATAGACCTCTTCTTCTAGATTCCCATTCAAGAATGCATTCTTAACATCTAGTTGATGTAGGGGCTAATCCAAATTAGCTACAAAAGAGAGGAGTATTCAAATAGTGTTGAGTTTTGCTACCGAAGCAAAGGTCTCCTCATAATTTATGCTACAAGATTGAGTAAATCCTTTAGCTACTAATCGAACTTTTTATCTTTTAATACTACCATTTGTTTTTTTTTTTACATTGAAAATTCACTTGCACCCCATCATATTCTTTCCATGAGGCAAATTAGTAATCTCCTAAGTACAATTCTTCACCAAAGTATTAACTTGTTCATTGATCGCCTTCTTCCATTCCGGGATAGCCATGGCTTCATGGATTGAGTTCGAAATGGATATAGAATTAATTTTTCCGATGAATTCTTGGTAAGATGAAGATAGCCCATCATAGTTCACATAGTTCCCGGTAGGGTACAATGGCTTACTTCGTATTCTCCGACCCCTTTCCCGAGTGCAATGGGTAGATTCTCATCGAATTCCTAAGATTACTTGAATTAGAACTTGCAATATTTTCCTCCATAATTTATAAATCGGATGTAGGGATATTTACTTCGAGTTCGGATGTCGGCAATAGTCGTAAATCCGATGAAATCTCTAATTCCTTCGGGTTTTCTTTTTCTATGATAGACAATTATATTGGGAGATGTAGAATCAATTAGTTGCGATTCGAGTTCGGGTTGGACACTTGGAGATGGGGTAGAAGCACTTTCGGATGGATAAGGTGTATTTGTAGTTTCGGATGTTTCGAGGTGCAATCTATGCTCTCTAAGAAAAGCCGATATTCTTGTGGTTGACTTTGACTAGAGCTCTCCCCCGAATATCGGCTTTGATGTCATAAGGTTTTGATTAAAAAAATATGGCATCCATAGTGTGATAGAACTTTTGGTTATCGGGATAGAAACATTTATAACCCTTTTTGGTTAGGAGAGTACCCTACAAAGATACATTTAGTGGATCGAGAGTCAAGCTTGGTTCGATGTTGTTGATGGATATGAATAAAAACAAGTACACCTAAATATTTTTAGAGGAAGAGTGGAAATTAGATGACTTTGAGGAAATTGTTATAAAAGTACTTTATGTGGAGTGGAAAAATCTAGTACTTTTGATGGAAGTCGATTGATTAGGTATCTTGCTCGTAAGTACGACCTCACCCCAAAAACATTTTGGAACATTGGATGAAAACAACAAAGACTCGGCAATATCCAAAAGGTGTCTATTCTTTCTCTCGACTATCCCATTTTGTCGAGGGGTATCTACGCATGAACTTTGGTATATGATTCCCTTAGTTGATAGATATAAGCTAAGATTAGAATTAAAAAAAACTCTCTTCCATTATCAGTTTTAAGTATTTGAATGATAGTTTGACATTGATTTTTAATCATTGTGTTGAAATTCTTAAATATTTGAGGGACATCCGATTTATTTTTCATAAGAAAAATCATGTGAGTCGTGTGTGATCATCTACAAAAGAGATGAACCACTAGGCCCCTATGATATTTGGAACTTGGGATGGGCCCCAAACATCACTATGGATTATAGAAAAAGGTTTTGATGCTTTGTATGGCTAAATAGGGTATGAACTACGAGTATGTTTTAGAAATTGATAAATTTCACACTCGAAAAGAACTAACACTTTTATTTCTAAATAAACTTGGAAAAAGCTTAGATAAATACATAAAGTTTGGGTGTCCTAACTTGTAATGCCACACCATGATTGATCTCTCACTCTCGGTTTTCAACTCACTAACGGATAAGCAAGAATCGGCTTTACTAGAAATAGGGTTACTCATTCCTAGGTGAGATTGTCTCACAAAATCCGATTGAACCTCGAGATGATAGAGCCCAACATGATTTCTAGCATCGCCAATCATCCTCCTCAAAGTCACATCCCGAAAGTCATAAACATGAAGAGAAAAATTAGCTAGACGAGTTAAGATCTTGGGTAATTTTATTTATGGAAAGTAGGTTACATTCTAGATTAGGATATAGATAGAACAAATTTGAGTCTTATGTCCCTAGATATCACAACCGAGCCAGTCCCTTCCATTTTTTCCAAAGAAACATCTCGTAATTCTAACTATGAGATCATCATTACAAGGAGAATATGTGTGAAAAACTCACCTATCTCCTGTCATGTGATCGAAAGCACCGAGTTTACAATCCAAGGCTTATAGAGCTCTTGTTTGATAGTCAAAGCCTTAAGAAAATTACCTTTTTGAGCTATAGAACCCGACCCAATAATTGATGGATTCTGTTGTGATTGCGGTAACCTTCTTAATCCATTAAGTTCCTCTCTACTAAGAGTTATAGCCTGCTCTAAATTTTTGGCCATGTTGCCTCGAACTTTATTCTCTACTCGTTGTTTTTGACTTCCAATCGACTGGTTTTCCATGGAGTGTCCGAGCGGGTTTCTTTCGTATGACCGGGGCGGTGACAATGTTCACACCATGGCCTTCTCCCTCTATGTGGCTACTGCTGATTTTAGACTCGCCAATGCCGATGACTCACCACTAGCAATTGATTTTTCTATCCCCGGCATCAAGTGACATCTTCTTTCTTCCCTTCGGACCTTAGAGAAGGCTTCACGTACGCTTGGCGGTGGTTTTATTCTAAATATCCTTCCTCTTACGGAATCAAGACTAGAATTCAATCCCAAGTAAAATTTATAGACCTTTTTGTTCTCTATGATCTTTTTGTGTTGTTTGAAATCATTAGTAGTGTCCTAAGAATATTTCTCAAAAGCATCCAACATGCTACTGACTTTGTTGGAATTTGTTATAATACTCGACTACGGATAAGTCACCTTATCGAAGATCGTGTAAGATGCTCTCAATTTTCACTAGTTTGGGGGTGTTGTCTTTATGAGAAAAAGTATCTTTTTCTATTTTCCAAACTTCGCAGTAGTTTCATATAGGAGAAAATTTTATCCTATATGTGGCCCCATGGAATTCACTAACCAAAACATAACCTCGGCTATTATCTCTCTTCCGGATCCCGTACTCGGTATCTTTTTCATCCGGTTTAGTGATATTTCTAATTAGATAATCTTCTTTTTCCTTACTGCGGACATGAAACATAAAGGATTGAGACCATTGGATATAGTTTTTGTCATTGAGTTTATAGATGGTTATGGGTGCGGATGAGTAGTTTGTCATGTCTTCCCCATGGTTGTTGAACACAATAGTTTCAATATTGGAGGATTTTGGGGTTTCAATAGAGGATTCGTTGGTGCTTGTCATGTTTGGTTTTGGATGTTACTCGTTGGAATAAGATAAAGGATGGATTGGGAATGAGATAAAGGATGGATTGGTTGATGAATACCGTTGGAATAAGCGAGTGTAAAGATTGATGAATACTAATGGAATAAGCGAGTAGAAGGTCTGCTGGAAAACAAATTGGTGAAGAACTAACTTAAGACGACTGTGGGAAGAACATGAGGCGTATAAGGTTGCTCCGATACCATGTGAATAATTAGGTTTGAATGACCTAAATTTTTATTATACTAGAACACGTATATATACACAAAGAGTCCTAAATATTAGGACTTGTTTCCTACTTCAAGGAAGAAATCTTGCCTAATCTATTCTAAATAGGAAACAAATATACGGCTAATTACATTGATTTAAAGCTAATTCCTCGCCGATTAATAGCAAAGAATACCAACGGATACCATCAACTTTAAATCGCATCATTAAAAAGTTGATGTCGGTTTTAAATTATATCATTTAAAAAGTCATTGTTGACTTTAGATCACATCATTTAGGAAGCCTATAGCAACCTCATCCACGCAAGTAGTAAGTCACCATCGACTTTAAATCATATCATTTAGGAAGTTGTTGTCAACTTTAATTCACATCATTTAGAAAGTCTCTAACTACTTCTCTCATACATATGGAAAGTCACCATGGACTTTAAATCATATAATTTAGAAAGTAACTATCAACTTTAATTAATATCATTTAAGAAGTCTTTAACGACTTCATCCATATAAGTAGGAAGTCATTGTTCACTTCAAAGCACATCATTCTTCATCCACACAAGTAGGAAGTCATTGTCGACTTCAAATCACATCATTTAAAAAGTCACTATCAACTTTAGATCATATTATTTGAGAAGTCTCTAGTGACTTTATCTATACAAGTGGAAAGTCACCATCGACTTCATATTACATCATTTAGGAAGTCACTATTTACTTCAATTTATATCATTTAGGAAGTTATTATCAATTTTAATTCATGTCATTTAAGAAGTTATTATCCACTTTAATTCACATCAATTAAGAAATCTCTTGTGACTACGCCCATACAAGTAGAAAGTCACTATCAACTTTAAAGCATATAATTCTAGAAGTCACTATCAATTTTAATTCACATCATTTAGGAAGTTGTTATCAACTTTAGATCATATCATTTAGGAAGTCTATGAAGAATTTTTTTCATATAAGTAAGAAATCACCATTCATATCATTTAGAAAGTCACTATCAACTTTAATTCATATCTTTTAAAAGTCTCTAATGACTTCATCCATACGATAGAAAGTAACTATCAACTTTAAGCACATCATTTAAGAAGTCGATATCAACTTTAATTCATATCATTTAGGAAGTTACTATCGATTTCAATTCATATCATTTAGGAAGTCTCCGATAACTTCATCCATACAAATGGAAAGTCACTCTTGACTTCAAATCACATCATTTAGAAAGTCAATATCGACTTCAATTCGGATCATCCAAGAACTCACTTTTGACTTCAATTTACATCATTTAGGAAGTCTCCGACGGCGTCGTCCACTTAAGTAAGAAGTCACCATCGACTTCAAATCACATCATTTAGGATAAACAAGCATGACATGAATAAGAAACATGTCATCAACATTATGTTTAAATCAAACCACATCACAAAAAGAAAGATCATGCATAAATATGCATATCGAAAACCAACACTCATCTTGGATAAACCATTGGAATTAAAACCCAAATTAGTCCTTCCAAATCCATTGCATATTACCGATTACCACCCTTATTACTTCTCAAAATACTTGGGCCTTAGAATTTTATTTATTTTTTGTTCAATACATAACAATGTATCTAACGCCCTTTAAATATTTTAAACACATTCATATTTGCATTTAGATATCTCATCCATCCAAAAATAATAAGAAAACAATTTATATTATTTTTCTTCAAAATATAAATAGGTACGAGTAGATTTCAAAAGTCACCCAAATAGAAATTGAAAATTTTGAAATTACTAAAAGACCCTTCAAGTCAATCTCAATTCCTTCGATCTTAATAAAGACTCATTATCCAATCAGTTAAGAAAGAGGAAGGGATTGCCATTTTTATGGTGAGTCAAGTGCTTAGTTTTTGTTTAGCTCGATCCATAATCTGTAACAACAACACACTTGGATTGTGTATTTTTTCAATCTATTACATCCGGTAGAATCGATCCTTGAGTTGTTTTAGGTCCAAATCAAGGTTCATATTATTATTTTTTATTTATTTTCACCATTTTACTATAACGGGAAAACTCTATAAAAAAAACCACTAAAAACTTCCATTTTTGCATTTAAAGTTTCTCTCCTACCACCATTACAAATTGTAAACAACAACACGACAAACAACCATAATCAAAACTGTTAATTTTTAGCTTAGTATCCCTTTCTTACCACCATTACATGTTGTAAACATAACACAAATTTTAGAAACATAATGGTTAAGAGGATTTTGAGTAGTGGGTTGTAATGGTGATTTTTGACTAGTATGGTAAGAGCTTGATTGATAGTGGGTTTAGGAGGGAAAGGATGGTTATGTTAGGCATTTGTTTGGTTATGGCTAAGCCGATAGTAGATGGGTTTTGATGGACATAGAAGCGGGGTGAGCTTGGTGGTTGGTTAGTTCGGTGGAGTGGGCCTCGGTGAAGGAAAAGCAATGGTAATGAGTCTTTAAGGATTCGAGTGGCTAGTTCTAGCTAAAGGTTGAAGTAATGGTGGTGGGTTTATACTAGTTCGGTGAAGTGAGTCTTAGTGAAGGAGTAGTGGTGGCGGTGGGTTTGTGGTTGGGTCTTGCTAGAGGTTGAAGATGAAGCGAGTAATGGTAGGTCTTAGTGATTTAATGGCTGGATCTTGGTGAAGGAAGAAGATGAAACGAGTGGTGGTGTAGTAACTAGTTTGGCTAGTGATGACGAAGATGATGTAGTGTTTGGGTATGGTGGGGTTTGGCTTGGGTGAGGAAAAAGATGATGCATTGTTTAGGTGTGGTGAGGTTTGATGGTTGGGCGGCTAGTGTGTTGGTGTTTTTTGGGTAGTGGCAAGTTCTTGATGAAGGTTGAAGATAGGGATGGGTCAAGGTGGTTCGGTGCCTAGAGGTTAAAGAAGGAAATGTAATGGTTTTTTTACTAGTGCGGCTAGGGTAAGAAGATGGGTAAGTTTTTTTTTTTTTTTTAATGATTTAGAATGGAAGCCCTCGAAAAAAACTAAAGAAGAAATGTATTTATAGTGGGTTTTTTAGGATTGGGGCTAGAAATCCGAATTGGTCCCTATTTTCTCTGTCTTGTTCAAATTTAGTACTTGTCTTATTTATTTATTTTTTTTATTTTTGTCAATCGTGTACCCAATTGAAATTATTGAGTCCCTCATCTTTTATTTTATTTTTTTAATTTTTCCCTAGTTCACTCTCAATTGACGCTTTTAATTTTTATTCTCTTCTAATTGCACCCCTAATGAGATGTAATTCGATCCTTACTTCTCACTTTTTACTAGTGCGACTAAGGTGAGGAAGAAAATTGGTAAGGTTATTTTTTTTATTATTATTATTTTATTTTATAGAGTGGAAGCCCTTGAAAAACAAACTAGAGAAGAAATGTATTTATAGTGGGTTTTTTAGGATTGGGGCTAGAAATTCGAATTGGTCCCTATTTTCTCTATCTTGTTCAAATTTAGTACTTGTCCTTTTTTTTTTTTTTTTGTCAATTGTGTACCCAATTGAAATTATTGAGTCCCTCATCTTTTAAATTTTTTTTTAAAATTTTTCCCTAGTTCACTCTCAATTGACGCTATTAATTTTTATTCTCTTCTAATTGCACGCCTAATGAGATGTAATTTGGTCCTTACTTCTCACTTTTTATTTTCAATTGGACCCCAGATCATCTTTTTAATTTATTCTCATTTTTTTTTTTTTGTATTTCTTTTTAAACTCACAAATTATGAGACTCCTAAAAACCTTAACATAAAGATAAAAATAAAATCAAGTGAATTAAGAAAATATTTAATTTTGATATTTTTCTCTTTTATATTTTTTAAGGAAAAAATGTAAAAATAAAAAGGATCCGAAATTAGGTGATAACAATTAAACTAAGAATGCCGTTTCTTTTCTCTCCATCATTCGACATGAAACAAACAAAAAGAAAAGAAAAAGTTTGGTGAGTTAAAGAACTATTCGCAGTCAAGGCCTTCATCAATATAAGTTAAAACTATAGGATTTTTGAGCGAAAATCTTGTTTTGACTTGAGTAGTCAAGACTACTATTGAATTAATCTACTCTTTGACACTTGAACAAATCCATATACAATTCGAGTGAAATCCTTTCTAATCTGAGTTTAATGGTATACCGAGTTAACTTCACACTTACACTATATTTGAATAACTTTACATTAAAGGATAAAAAGAAGTGAACTTCAAAAGGAAGGAAGGAAGGAAAAAAATTACCAGAAGAAAAGGAAGGAAGGAGGGAGCAAAAAGGGAATAAACAGAAGAAAAATAGGACTTTATTAAATATTAAATTATTTGTGTTAATTAACTTATTAGATTAATGTGTTTAAGTCGATTTATTCTCTCTCCTACAATCTTAAATCATACGTCGCAGCGTACAACAATAGGCTATTAATGTACTGTTTATGGATCTAATAATTCATGTACAATTTTATTTAAAATAAACTAGTCGAAATACCTCGCGACATCAATTCGATCCAATAATTCAGTATCTTATAAAATCAAAAACTGAGAGGTCAGTGAGTTAGAAATTCATATTTACCTTCTATTATAATCATTATTTACTTTGAAATTTTGATATCTATCAAGCCAACTGAAAACATTGTTAGAAGAAGAAAGAAAATTCATTGGGTTAGATTTCATGTAAAGGTAAAAACAAATACAGTTGAACTGTTATTGATATTTTGGTGATAAAAAACAAAGAAAAAAAATATTGAATACCAACAAATGGAGGACATACTTTATATA